TTCTGGTGCGTTTGAAATCAACCCAGACGTCACTCCACTAGGGCAAGCGCTCTGAGCCCCCTTTAGACACAAGAGTCTGTGCGTAACTTAAAGCTTATTCCCCTTCCTTTCTCCCTCCCTTTTTCTGTGGTTTCCCTCTTCTTTCCCCAGGAGCTCGTGTCTGACCTCGATCTGGACTTCCTCCAAGCCTATGTCGATGCAGGCCCCCATGCTCTCTACCCTTCCCACCGCCCCTAGACACTTCATCTTGTGTTTGACCTTATGCCTACCTCTCTGTTTTCCCCCTCCCTTTTTCTGTGTTTTCGCTCTGCTGTCCCCAGGAGCTCGTGTCTCACCTCAACCTGGACTTCCTCCAAGCCTGTGTCGATGCAGGCCCCCATGCCCGCTGCCTCTGCTCACAATGTGCACTTCTCCCTCTCATTCACCTCTACCGCCCTCCCCTCTGCCCCTCTATATTTTTCCCAGGAGCTCGTGTCTCACCTCAACCTGGACTTGTTGCAATCATGTGTCGATGCACCCCCATGCCCGCTGCCTCTGCTCACAGCTTGCACCTCTCACTCTCATTCACCTCTACCGCCCTCCCCTGCCTGTCTATGTTTTCCCCAGGAGCTCGTGTCTCACCTCAACCTGCACTTTCTGCAAGCCTGTGTCGATGCAGGCCCATGCCCGCTGCCTCTGCCACCACCGCTGGACACAGGCGGGGAAGGGAGTGCTGGTGGTGGTGGTGGTTGGAATGGTGGTGCGGGTGGAGCCAGGGGTGCACCTACTGATGAGCCGTGGGGTGCTGGTGGTGGTGCTGGTGGTTGGGGTGGTTCTGTGGGTGCCGCTACTCCTGGAGCGGCCAATGCTGCTGCTGGTGGTGGTGGTGCATGGGGAACGGATGGTGGTGGTGGGGGGGGTGCATGGGGATCGGATGGTGTTGGTGCCGCTGGTGGTGGTGCGGATGGCGCTGCTGCTGCAGGTGGGAGTGGTGGGGATGGTGGTCGTGCTGATGCTTCTGCTGCTGCTGGCAACGGGTGGGGGGCTGATGCTTCTGCTGCTGCTGGCAACGGGTGGGGGGCTGATGCCTCCGCTGCTGCTTCTGCTGGTGGTGCTGATGCGGGTGCATGGGGTGCTGATGCGGGTGCATGGGGTGCCGATGCTGCTGGTGGGGGTGCGGGTGATGCTGGTGGTACTTCTGGTGGTGCCGGTGGTGCTACTGCTGGTGGTGATGGTGGTGCTGGTGATGGTGGGAATGCTAGTGATGCTGCTGCTGCTGCTGGTACTGGTGATGGTGGAAGATGTGATGAGCGAAGGGCAGGCGTGGAGACAGAGGAAGGTGGGGAGAGGGGGGGCAGGGGCGGCCAGGGCACAAGGGGGGTGGGGAGAGGAGGAAACGGGAGAGGAGGAAACGGGAGAGGAGGAGAAGGAAAAGCAGGTGGAGGAAGGGGCACAAGCACAAGGGGGGCGGGGAGAGGGGAAAAGGAATGAGGAGGGAGCGGTGCAAGGGGAATGGGGAGAGGGGAGAAGGAGTTAGAGAAGAAGGGGAGGGAGTGCAGTGTGGATGGGGAGAGGAGGAAAAGAAAGAGGGGGGGACGACAAAGGCGGTGGCACAAGGGGTATGGGGAGAGACGGAGCAGGGGGGGATAATATGAAGGAGCCAGAAGTTGAGGCGGGGGGAGGGTGGGGTGGCGGTGCTGCTGCTGCTGCTGCTGCTGCTGATTGGGGAGGGAACGATGGTGGTATTGGTGGTGGTTCTGCTGGCGGTTGGGGTGTAATGACGATGCTGCTCCTGCTGCTGCGGGCGGTGATGCTGGTGGTTGGGGGTGGCGGCGGTGGTGGTGATGCTGCTGCTGCTAGTAGTGGTGGTAAGAGTAGTGGTTGGGGTGGTAACGATGGTGCTGCTCCTGCTGCTGCTGGCGGTGATGATTTTGGTTGGGGTGGCGGTGGCGGTGCTGGTTGTGGTGCTGCTGGTGCTGGTGCTGCTGGCTGGGGGAACGATGATGCCAGTGGTGGTGGTCCTTCTGGTGGTTGGGGTGGTAACGATAATGATGCCACTGCTACTGCTGCCGGTAATGGTGGTGGAGGTGGTGGTGCTGCTGCTGCTGGTGCTACAGGCTGGGGGAACAATGATGCCAGTGGTGGTGGTGATGGTGGTGGTGGATGGGGAAGGAATGATGGTGCTGCTGCTGGTGATGGTAATATTGGTGGTTGGGGTGGTGGTGGTGCTGCTGCTGCTGGTGATGGTAATAGTGGTGGTTGGGGTGGTGGTGGTGCTGCTGCTGCTGGTGATGGTAATAGTGGTGGTTGGGGTGGTGGTGCTGCTGCTGCTGGTGATGGTAATAGTGGTGGTTGGGGTGGTGGTGCTGCTGCTGCTGGTGATGGTAATAGTGGTGGTTGGGGTGGTGGTGGTGCTGCTGCTGGTGATGGTAATAGTGGTGGTTGGGTGGTGGTGGTGCTGCTGCTGGTGGTGCTGCTGGTGGTGCTCCTGGCTGGGGGAGCAATGATGCCGGTGGTGCTAGTGGTGCTGGTGGATGGGGGGGAGTGGCGGTTCTGCTGCTGGTGCTGGCACGAGTGCAGGTGGTAACGCCTGGGGGGCAGGTGGTAACGCCTGGGGGGCAGGTGGTAACGCCTGGGGGGCAGGTGGTAACGCCTGGGGTGCAGCACCTGATGCTGGCTTAGCTGGACCCAGCGCCCCACCACAACAAGCAGCACCTGCACCCTTCTCTTCGTCCGGCCACGCCCCTCCCCACCCGCCCAATCACGTACTGCCACCTGTCGGCGCATTCAGCGTGCTCATTGGCTCAGGTGCTACTGGTGTTACCGAGGCCAGAGAGGGCAAGCCTGATTGGACCAAGGTGACCCTGAGCCGATGGCCGGTCCCGTGGTCTTGACCTGCAGGTGGGGACTGGGCCAGGCGTTACCTCGTCACGAGTTGCCATGGTCAGTGGTGTCAGGATCTGTGCTCCTGCTGACCCGTTTCCAGCAGCACCAGGAGCAGCAGCAGCAGGAGTGGCGCCTGCACCACTTTTACCTGCACCAGCCGCGCCTCCCTCGTCAGTGCGTGCGTCTGCTGCCTTAGCAGCATAAGTGAGCTCAGCCTTGCTTGCCGGAATAACACCCACTGCTGCTGCTGCTGCTGTTGGCGCTGCTGGTGACAACGATGGTGGAGGGACAGTGGTAGGGGATGATGGTGCTGCGCCACTTGGCGGATGGGATTGGTTGCTGCTGAACCGCACCCCATCGCTGCACAAGCAGAAACCTCATGGCGTTTCGAGTGCGCCTTCGTGCCGGCTGCCATCTCTGCCAATGCTCTCCTGCTCAATCCTCAGGTATGGCCATGTGTGGTATGGCCATGTATGCGGGGCATGCGTGCGGTATTCTCTCCAGCATGCATGACCACGGATGTGCAAGCCATAGTTGGAGACTTTGATGATGTACATGAGCGTGAACGTGTTCACTGTCCAGCAGAGCGCCATGGCACCAGAGGCAGCAGAGCTCATGGCCGTGGACAAGCAGCTCTTTCCCTTTCCCCCCTCACCTCCGTCCCCCTGCATCCCCCCCCCCCCACCCCTCCCCCCACCCCCTCCCTTTTTAGGTGTGCGCAGCGTTAGCGGGTGATTTCGACGGCGATGAAGTGAACGTGTTCACCGTCCAGCAGAGCGCCGTGGCAGCAGAGGCAGCAGAGCTCATGGCCGTGGACAAGCAGCTCTTCCCCACCCTCCCCCCTCCACCGCTCCCTCCTCCTCTCCCCCCTCTCCCTCCACCACCTCCTATCAATCCCACATCTGATCCCTCTTCGTCCCGTGCCGCTGCTGCTCCCCCTGCAACTGCCATAGGCACCACCGCAACTGCTGCTACCTCCTTCCATCCCTCCTCCCGTTCCTCCTCCCGTTCCTCCTCCCGTTCCTCCGCCTGTTGCTCTTGCCACTCCTCCTCATTCTCTCACCCGCACTCCCCTCGCCACGATGCTGCCGTCATGTCTCTCCAGCAGGACGCCCTGCTCGGTCTGCACCTCCTCGCTGCCCCTCCCCCCTCCTCCCCCTCCCTCTTCCTCTCCCGCCCAGATGCCACCCAGCTGGCCCTACAAGCGTGGGGAGGGATGGGCAGGTGACTGGGGGCGGGGGGAAGGTGGGGGAGGGATTGGAGCAGCAGGCGGGGCAGGAGGGGTGGCAGAGAGGGGAGAGGGGAGTTGGAGTTTGATTGCTGTTGTGGATGAAGGGGAGTGGGGAGTTGGGGTTGGAGAGGGGACGAAGCGAGGACAGGAAGGAGGGAAGGCACCAACAGGAGCAGCAGCAGCAGCAGCAGCAGCAGCAGCGGCAGGAGCAGGAGCAGAGCAGGAGCAGGAGCAGGAGCAGGAGCAGGAGCAGGAGCAGGAGCAGGAGCAGGAGCAGGAGCAGGAGCAGAGCAGGAGCAGGAGCAGAGTAGGAGCAGGAGCAGGAGCAGCAGCAGCAGCAAGAAATCCTTATTTTCCTCTCCCCCCCACCAGCTATTCTCAAGTACCCACTCCCAAAACACCAGCAGCCGCCATCCTCCCCCCCTGCCCCCCTCTCTGGACCTCCCTTCAGCTGCTCTCCACCGTCATCCCGCCCTCCCTGTGCTTTCCAGTATCGGAAGTGCGGCGTCGGGTGCATCAGGGGAGGTCGTATTCGTGAATGAGCATGGGCGCATGGGGGTGGGAAGAGGCGGGAGAAGGCGTGGGGTGCAGGTTACAGGCGGGGAGAGAGTGAGGGTTGAAGGTAGTTATGGAGGAGGATGAAGAGGAAGAGGAGGAGGATGAAGGTACCAAAGAGGAGGGAAAAGAAGGGAAGGAGGAGGCGGAGGTGGAGGTGGGGATGGGTCGCGGTGGCTGAGGGGTGGCAGCGATGGCTTGCTGGCAGCCATATGGCGGCAACCATCCGCCAATGGCAGCACGACACCTGGCGGGCGTTGCAGGCACTAGCGGTGACCTATCTGTCCACTGTAGCCGGCCTCAGTGCCGGACTCCAGTGACTTCTGCGGCCTCCCTGCCAGTGAATCCCACGGTGACTCCCACAGTGACTTCTGCAGTGACTCCTGCAGCCTCCCACAGCACTCCCCTCTCTCTGCCCACCCCTCCAGCTCCCCTCCTCCGCCTCTCTTCTCCGGCGCCTCACCCCTCTTCCCGCGGGGCAATGCAGTTCGGGAGATGCTGGGGCGGGCAGCAAGGGCAACCCCAAGCAGATCGCCCGAGCAGGTGCAAGATTTGGGGCTCCACGCCCTGCTGCCCCCCGGCCGCTACCCCATGTCGTGGACCCCATTCCGACTGAACCTCACCGCTCCTAAGTCCACACTCACTAACAACGCCCCTAACTCTATCCCTCTTGCCCGTTCCCCTGCCAATTCCCGTGCTCATGCCCCTGCCTGGTCCCCTCCCCAATCCCCCTGATTTCGGACCTTCCGTGGCCTCTCAACCTGCCACCTCTCTCTCCCCTGGCTTTTCCCAAAGCTTGGGCCTAGGCTTGGCCCGAGGCTCCCTGCTGGCGGGCCTTTCGGCTCGGGAGCTCTTCCAAGCCGCAGCTTCGGCCAGGCCTGCTCTGGTAGCCGAGGCTACGAGCGTGGCTCGGCCGGGGGAGCTCTCCAGGAAGCTAAGAGAAACGCTTAGAGATGTTGTGGTGGCTTATGATGGGTCTGCGAGGATTGGAGGAGTGGGGGAGGGCGGGAGGAGGTGGAGGAGGAGGGAAGGGAGGTATGGTGGTGCAGTTGTCGTATGGACGACTGGGGATAGAGGAGGGGAAGAGGACGGGGAGGGGGTGAGGCGAGGGACGAGGACAGGCAGGGGGGTCGTCTGGGAAGGGCAAGGTTGGGAGAGACGACAGGAAGGACCGAGGAAAGGGCAAGGAAACGGGAAAGGAGAAGGTGGGAGAGAAGAAGACTGGTGAGAGGAGGGAGGTGGGGAATGAGGGGGGTGTGTGGGCGGAAGCAGGGGATGCAGTGGGCATGGCAGCGGCGCAGGCAGTGTCTGGACCAGCGACGCAGATGGTGCTGACGGCGGGGCATGATGGCGCGCACGGCGGTGCCTCCTCCCTCATTGCCCGACTGGAGGTGAGGCCATCGCAGCGTGCATTGGGTTCAATGGGTTGGCTCGAAGTCATTCCACACAGATGGTGCTGACGGCGGGGCATGATGGTGCGCATGGTGGTGCCTCCTCCCTCATTGCCCGACTGGAGGTGAGACCATCGCAGCATGCATTGGGTTCAATGGGCTGGCTCGAAGTCATTCCACACAGATGGTGCTGACGGCAGGGCATGATGGTGCGCATGGTGGTGCCTCCTCCCTCGTTGCCTGGCTGGAGGTGAGACCATCGCAGCATGCATTGGGTTCAATGGGTTGAGACTGGAGGTGAGACCAGGGAAGGGTTGAGAGAGGAAGAGGGGAATGTGGGGCATGATGGCTTGCACGGTCAGTGGTGACGAAATGCCTCCATGGTTTTCCGGTGAGGGTGATCTGATCGAGAAGCTACGCTTGAAACTTTGCTTTGTGGGGAGAAGTTGCGTACTTCTCATGCAATTTCTCTCTATGACAACAGCTTCCAAGTTCGCTGTTCCTTTTCTTCCCTGCCCCGTGCCCTCTTCTTCTTTTCTTCTTTTTGTGCACTCCCCCTCCAACTCCTCTCCTCCCTTCCAGCGCCTTCTGTACGCAACTGACTCCTCTCCAAGGGTCCAACTGCGATTCCTTCCCGCTCATCCCACCTCTCCTTCCAAGGACAGCACCACCTCTTCTGCAGCGGCAGCATCATCATCATCAGCTGCTGCTGCTGCTGATGCTGCTGCTGCTGCTGCTGACTGTCGGTTGGCTCTCGCAGCACAGGGCCGTCTGCTGCCTCTGCGGGTCAGGCAGCTCGCCTCTCATGTCATATGATCGAGTGAGTGGCGGACAGTGTGGGGCTTGCTTTGCTTTCAAGTATTTCCGTCTCCTTGTCGTAAGGTGTGATTTGGTTTGAACACTCTCCCATAACACTTGTCATAACCCTCCTTCCCACCTCCCACGTTCCTGCCAGATGGGACGAGGGAGTGAGGGCGACTGAAGTGACTTCTAAGTCGACTCAAACGTGACCCTGCCCACCCCTTCCCACCCCTTCCCACCCCACCCACACCTCCGCCTGCACCCTCCCATCCACCCCCCCATTCCCCCCCCCCCCCCATCGTTTCCTCTCAGGTACCGGAGAAGGGAGCTGAAGCGGTGGGACGAGGGAGTGAAGGCAACTGGAGCTAAAGCGAGGAGAGAGAGGGAGAGGGAGGATGTGGAAGCAA